AATGAACACTGTTGTCTCTTCCTCGTCAACCTCCAGCTCCATGCCCAGGAACCTCACAGGCTGGCCAGGACGTAGAAATGCCAGGTCAGTGGTCTTCCAGACCCCTTGGATAGCTGAGGCCAGCATTCGGATTGTCTCTTCATCTCCAAGTAGCATAAAGTCGTCTACGTATATGATGACGACGGCCGTCAATGTACCCGTAGGTCCTTGTAGAATCCACCAGGAGGTCACCGTCCGGCCCCGACGTAATCGCATCGATCTTGGCAACGTCATCTCCTCCAACACCCTGTCCCGGTGAGCACTCCATAAAGCTGGAGCCTGGCGTAGGCCATACAATGCTCGTACCAACAGCCATAATTCTCCTTCCTCTGATAGTAGAAGACGCTCCAATAGTCGAGGAGGTGCTACCAGCACTATGGGATCTCCTTCACTCGGATTAAGAGGGGTGCGTAGGAATGCTGCAACGACGTCAAGGAGGGCTACTCTCCATTTTCTCCTCCTGGACAACATAAGGCCCACGCGGACGGCTTCCGATGGGGCTGTTTCCGTGTAGAGCTCGGCACCGTCGTACGCGGCAAAGTTGCCGCAAACCACTAAGCGCGCCTTGCGCTTGTACCACGTGGAGGAATCTGAGGGCAATGGAGCATCACCCGGCTTTATTGTGAACACCATCTTAGCTGGTAGCCGCTGTGCTCCTGGTCTCTGTATCCAGTCTTGTCTCTCCGAAGATCCTCGTGGTAGTCGTTTGATCGCCACCGCCACTCCATCCACTTCCTTCCGGATTGCTGCTTCCCAGGCCGACAAGTTCTCCAAGACTTCCTTGGGGTCAACATTATGGACCACTTCTAGCGGGCCCTTGAGGCCCTTCAGTAGGGTCTCGATGTCCTTGGTGTACCCAACTTCAACTTTACGAACGCGAGGCTGCTGTTCACCTTGTGGCTCCTCCTGTTCCTCGCCAATCTTCACGAATCCATCATCCGCCTCCAAGTACATCTCCCACTCGTCGACATCCACGTCTCCAATTTCCTCGGCCGTCACGTAGTCCGGGAGCTGCAAATCTCTTAAGACACTGTCTTCCCTTGGCTCCTGGCTGGGACCCTTCAAGACCTTAACTTCATGGTCCGGAGTAGTGAGGAAATACTCAGGCATCTGTGTAATTGGGGTAGGGTAGCCATAGTCCTCCAACTCGTTGATCATCACATCCGTTAGCTTCCCAAGAGCTTGCGGAGTATAGGCAACAACAACTGTCCTTGTTCCCTTCCAGGGTAGCACTTCATGCCTCCTTCTGGGAGAAAACACATTGCATCTTCCCCACCTCAGTGGGAATAACTGTCCATAGCGTTGCCGCCCTTGATCATCTTGTCGAACCACGATCTCCTCCTGAACCTTGTCCCCCCTCCCGACTTCCACCCAAAGCTCCCCGCCCTTTTCTGGTAAGCGCACCGGTAGTACGTAATTCACCGCCCCTTCATCATTGTTGAGGTCCTGGTGCATACCCCGCTCCATGTTTCGCGCCACCATTATCGCTGTAAAGGTTGCTTCCGGTCGGTCGTAGAGGATCATCTTAGACAGCACCTTAGCCAACTCTGGATACTCAGTGAATCCACGCATTCTTCCCACTATTCCACCATGACGAAAGACTCCGAACTTGACCTCATCAAATAGTCCACGTTCCGCAAGTTCGTCAACCAAGTTGATGGCCGCCTCCTGGCTCCACTCATCCAGCAGAATTCTTGAGCGATCCCTAATGTACTCACCGAGCTCCTCTTCAGGCAACTGTAACTCCTTCATTTACACATACGCCAGCGGAGTCTTGCCCTCAACTCTTCGCCTTGGTCTCGGCGGGTCGTCCACAATGAGTTCTTGTTGAGGTAGGCCTGGGTCGATTAGCCGAGGTCGAACATGAAAGGTGTGAATAAACTTCTCCCTTGTTCCCTGTTCATCCGGGATGTACACCACATGTCCATTGTCCAATATGCTGCTCAATCCAACATAGCGTCCTCGCATCCACTTCGACTNNGGGGCCCTGACGAATCAAACGCCTTCTGCTTCACATGGACAACTGCCCCAAAAGGAGCAAGCAGCTTACTCTTCCATCCCAGAACCCTTGCTCGCTGCATGGCTGCTGCAGCCTCCACCGCCGTAGGCCAGAGTCGAGTTGGTAGCCTTGAAGATAGCAGTAGTGTTCTTGCCTTGTCCTTAATCCAGCGTACCGCCCCTTCGGCCTGGCCGTTCCCTTGGGGAATTCCTGGCTCTGACCATGTTGCTCGTATCCCCTGATCTCTTAACCAGGTACGGACTGAGTGGTTGTAGGTCTCGCCCTTATCCGCATGTAGCCGGTAGATCGGTAACCCATGCGCCTGCAAATACAGAATAACATCCTGCATTGCTGCCTTGACCACAGCTGACCCATTGCTCGGTAACGCCTTGGCAAACAACAGGTAGGTTGACGCGGGGGCCACACAGTCCTGATGGGGATCTGGCTCACCTGGTCTCTGGATCAAATCCTCCTTTGGCTCCTTGGGAGGGTCCTCTGGTTCTGAAGGCTCATACATTGAGTCGTCATAGTCCTGGTATTCGGCCTGTTGCCTGCGGGTGCCGCCAATGAAGTCCACATCCTCACTTGACTGGCGCGTCCCTTGACCCTGCTCACCTGGTTCGTCAAGTAAAGGACCCTGCTCACCTGGTTCATCAAGTAAAGGACCCTGCTCACCTGGTTCCAAAATAAACGGATCCCCATCTTCGTGTGGTGGTAGTCGAGAAGGTTCTGCGAGTTCCTCGTCAGCACTGCCATCGAAAACTATTTCTCTACTCTTCTTGCCCTCCCCATCTTCATGTGGTGGTTTTTGAGAAGGTTCTGCTCCGAGTTCCTTGTCAGCACTGCCGTCTTGCTCCACAGGTATCTCACCACTTAAACCATGATCACCAGGAGGCTCTCTTGCGGTGTAACCCTTCACATATTCAACCGGTAAGTTGTACCGCGCAATCATCAAGTACTTCAGGTTTCGTCCCATCGTCCCCTTGCTTGTGACATCAAGTCCTGCTGCGACTGGTCCTGCTAAGTCAACTGTTAACGAGAACAGTTCCGGGTGGGAAACCCGCGCATGTCTTCGTCCTGTTCCACGGGCGAGAACGCACGTCAAGCAATCCCTTCGGTAATCGAGGTGTCCTCCATCTACATGTTGTCGCCATCGGTCTTGAGACGCGGTAGCCAACTGAGGAACGCATTGGGGATGCCTTGTCCAAAGCCTCAATGCGAGCACAAGAGCCTTCACCAGCCCCGGCGCCCAGGTAGAGAAAGTCTGGGTTGTGGTAGTTGACGTATCTCCTGCAGGATCACTGAGTCCCTGTAGTCCTTGGACATAGTAGACATTGGTTCCCAGCGTCGTTCTTGTACTTTGTGGAGCTCCCATAGCACGCTGGTCGAAGCTCACAGTTGTCATCCCGTACTCCTCCGAAAAACTCCTCCACAGTGGCAATCTCCATAGGGAACTGAAGTGAGGAACCACACATGCTCCATCTTCGGCTCGCTCCTCCTGGGAAGGATGTTCGA